GATGCGTGTGTGAGCCGGGCGCGCGGATCCGTGTCGGGGCTTTGGGGACGTGTGTGTCGAGCTCGACTGCTGCCGCAAGGGGGCGTGGGCATGGGTGTGTGCAAACTTGCACGCGCGTGTGGAACGCTTGTACGTGCGTGTGCAAATGTTGCACGCTCGTGTGTGGTTTTCGCGCACGAGTGGGTGATTCGTGTGTGGTTGGTGCACGGACCATGGGGGCTCGAGGGCGTGTGTGCGCTCAGCCCGAGTACGAGTTTGCACGCGCCCGTGTGGTTTTGCACGCGCGTGTGTGACTTTTGCACGCGTGCGAGCTTTTCGAATGCATCCATGTGGCTCTTGAACGTCGTGTGTGGTTTTTTCACGCGTGCATATGGGTTTTGCACGCTGATGGGCGTGTTTTCACTCGTGCATGTTCTTGCACGCGCGTGTGGTTTTTTTTGCACTCGCCTGTACTTTTTTTGTACGCCCGCGTGAGCCTTTAGCATGTATCGCTGCGGCTCTCGAACGTGCGCGCATTGCCTGCATTGGCACGTGTGCAGTTTGCACACTCACGTGCCTGTTTTGCACACGCGTGTGAGTTTGTCGCCTGTGTTTACGGAGCAGTTGAACATCTGGGTGGTTTGTGCACACGTGCGTGCAGCTTTGCACGTGCACGCGCCTCCATTGCTATCGCGTGTGTTCTCTGCACGCTCGTGTGCGTTCTTTGCACGCGCGTGTGATTTTTTCGCATGTACATTTGTAGCTTTGGAACGTGTACGTGTGTGGGGTTTGCACGCGTGTGTGTTTTTCACACGTAGCTGCTCTTTAAACGTGGTTTTTGCACAAGTGCATGTTCTCCCACCCACGCGTGTTTTTTCACACTCGTGTGTGTTGTCCACGTGTGTCTGTGTAGCACTGAAGTGTCTTTCCACGCGTGCGTGCAGCTTTTGCACGCCCGCGTATGTCCGTTGCACGTGCGGTGTGTTTTGGGGGCGGCTGAGTGAGTTTGCGTGCGTGCGTGGAGCTTTGGCACAGACGTGTGGTTTTATTTGCACACGCGTGTGCTCCTTCACGCCTGCGTGTGCCTCTGGGCACGCTCGTGTCGGTTTTTGCACGAACATGCGTGTGTTTGCCCCACGCGTGTGCATTCTTCAACACGTGAGTTTGCATGCAGGCACGGAGCTTTTGCACGCGCACGTGCCGTTTGCACGAGTGTATGTAGTTTTGCACGCTCGTGTGCTCTTTTGCACGCACATCTCCTTTGGGCCCGGGCATGTTTGCATGTGCGTGACTTTGCATGCACGGAGCATTTGCACGCGAGGCAACTGGTTTTTTTTGCACGCGCGTGTGCCTCCCTTGCACGCGCGTGTGCTCTTTGCACGCAAGCATGTTGATTTGTGCACGTGTGTGTTTGCTCACGGGAATGTATTACTTTGCACACGCGTGTGGGTTTTTGCACGTTGGTGGCCATCTTTTCCACGAACGTGTGTTGCTTTTGCACACGCGTGTGCTTTTTGCCACGTTCACGTGATTCCTTATGCACGTTTTCCACGCTCGTGTGTCTTGCACTCGTGTTCTTTGCACTTAAGTTTGTTTTTGCACGCGCGCGTGTGCTGTTGCACATGCTTAAGTGTGATTTCGCCCTTCTGGCACGCTGACGTGTCTTTTTGCACACGCGTGTGATTTTGCACGTTGTGATTTTGGACACACATACTTTTTGCACATTGAGGTGCCTTGCACATGCACGTGAGATTTTGCACACATGTGTGATGTTGCACACGCGTGTTATTTTGGACACCAGTGTCTTTCTGAACGCTGAGGTGTCTTTGCACACACGTGTGAGGTTTCCGACATGCGTGTGATGTTGCACACGTGTGATTTTGCACGTGCTTAAGTGTGATATCGCAGACGCATGCCCTTTTGCACATGCGTGACTTTGGACACGCGTTTTTTTGCACGCCGAGGTGCCTGCCCACGTGTGTGAGATTTTGCACACGTGTGATTTTGAACACGCGTGGGATGTTGCCCACGCGTGTCTTTTTGCACGCTGAGGTGTCTTTGCACACGTGTGTGCACCCGCGTGTGAAAGTTCGGACCCGCGTGGGATGTTGCACACGCGTGATTTCGGACACGCGTGTCTTTTTGCACGTTGAGGTGTCTTTGCACATGCGTGCGAGATCTCGCAACCCTGTGATTTTGGACACGCGAGCGACGTCGCCCGCGCGTGTGGGTGTGTGGTGTCACGCGTGTGTTTGTTCACACGCGTGTGTTGACACGCGTGGGTGTTGACACGCGTGTGGGTGTTGACACGCGTGTGGGTGTTGACACGCGTGTGGGTGTTGACACGCGTGTGTTGACGCGCGTGTATGTTCCCACGCGCGTGTGTTCCCACGCGTATGTCCAAGTGCGTCTGTTGACACGTGTGTGGGTGTTGACGCGCGTGTTTCCACGCGTGTTGCTTTCACGCGTGTGGGTGTGACACGCGCGTGTTCCCACGCGTGTCTTCACACGCGTGTGTGTTGACGCGCCTGTGTTCCCACACGTGTGTTCACACGTGTGTGTTGACACGCGTGTGTGTTCCCATGCGTGTGTTCACACGCGTGTGTGTGTCCACGCGCGTGGGTGCTGACCCGCGCCCCGCCCCCCGCAGGCCTGAAGCTGCCGTCGCGGACCTGGTCGCCGCCCGCCGAGCCCGGGGCCGGGGCCGAGGCCACGCGCGGCCCTAACCCGAGCGAGCGCGAGGCCGGGGCCGGCGGCGGCTGCTGCGCGTGTCCCAAGACGGACGCGCAGCTGCTGCGCGAGCGGCAGGAGGCCGAGTTCCGGAAGAGCTTCGAGGACTTCCTGCACGACGCCGTGTTCATGCCCAGGTCGGCCCGCGAGAGAGAGAGCGAGTGAGCGAACTCTCTCCCTCTCTCTCTCTCCCTCTCTCTCCCTCCCTCTCTCCCTGCCCGCTCCCCCTCTCTCTCCCTCTCTCCCTCTCTCTCTCCCTCTCTCTCTCCCTCTCTCTCTCCCTCTCTCTCTCTCCCTCTTTCTCTCTCTCCCTCTTTCTCTCTCTTTTCCTCCCCTCCCCCTGACATCACTCATTCTTTTCCTGACGTCACTGCCCTCCCCCGAAGGCCCCTCCCCGTCCCCCTGACGTCACTCCCCTCCCCCTGATGTCGCCCCGTCCTCCTCACGTCACTTTCCCGTCCCCATGACGTCACCCCTCTCCACTGACGTCACTCACTCTCCCCCTGACGTCGCTCCCCTCCCCCGACGTCGCTCCCCTCCCCCTGACGTCACTTCCCCATCCCCGCGAAGTCACTCCTCTCCCTCTGACATCACTCTCTGTCGCCCTGACGCCCCTCCCCTCCCTCTGACGTCGCTCCCCTCACTCCCCTCTCTCTGACGTCACTCCCCTCCCCCGAACGACCCTCCCGGTCCCCCGACGTCACTCCATCCTGCTCTGACGTCACTCCCGTCCCCCTGACGCCCCTCCACTCCCCCCGACGTCACTCCCCTCCCCCCGACGCCACCCCAGGCCGCCCCCGTCCAGCCCCCCGATGTCGCCATCGTCGTCGCCTTCGCCGCCGCCGTCGCGCAGGCGCCGGGGGGCGGGGCCGCCCGGGAACGCGACCACGCCCCCCCCGGCGCGGAGCCCCGCCCCCCGCGCGCCCGGCCCCGCCCCCGACGCCGTGGTGTGGGGCGCGGAGTCGCTGGTGATCTCGGGGCTGCGGCACTTCACGGCCTACAGGATCGAGCTCCAGGCGTGCAACCGCGCGGAGCCGGCGCGCTGCAGCGTGGCCGCCTACGTCAGCGCGCGCACCATGCCCGGAGGTGGGCGGGGCCGCGGGGTGGGGGGGGCGGGGGGCGGGGCGGGCGGGGCCGCGGGGGGGGCGGGGGGCGGGGCCGCGGAGGCCAGAGAGGGCGAATCGGGGCGAGTCACAGCGCTGAGGGGGGAAACTACAGGGAAAATGGCGGCCTTCAGGGGGCGGGGCCAAGGGGTGAGGAGGCCAATCACAGCGCTGAGGGACTACAGGGAAAATGGCCGCCGCGGGGGGGGCGGGGCCTGGCCCTGAGGGAGCCAATCACAGTGCTGTGGGGAACTACAGGGAAAATGGCGGCAGGCAGGGGCGTGGCCAAGGGCTGAGGAGGCCAATCACAGCACTGAGGGGCGGAACAAGGCCCTGAGGGGAAAATGGCGGCCGGCGGGGGCGTGGCCAAGGGCTGAGGAGGCCAATCCCAGCCCTGAGGGGAAAATGGCGGCCTGGAGGGGGCGTGGCCAGGCCCGGAGGAGGCCAATCACAGCGCTGGGGAACTACAGGGAAAATGGCGGCCACGGGGGCGGGGCCTGGGGGAGAGAGGGCGAATCACAGCGCTGTGGGGAACTACAGGGAAAATGGCGGCCGGCGGGGGCGTGGCCAAGGGCTGAGGAGGCCAATCACAGCGCAGGGGGAAAATGGCGGCCGCGGGGTGGGCGGGGCCGGGGCCAGAGAGGGCGAATCGGGGCGAGTCACAGCGCTGAGGGGGGAAACTACAGGGAAAATGGCGGCAGCGGGGTGGGCGTGGTCAAGGGCTGAGTAGCCAATCACAGCGCTGAGGGACTACAGGGAAAATGGCCGCCGCGGGGGGCGTGGCCTGGCCCTGAGGAGGCCAATCAGAGCGCAGGGGGGAAAATGGCGGCCGCGGGGGGCGTGGTTACGCCCTGAGGAGGCCAATCACAGCGCTGAGGGACTACAGGGAAAATGGCCGCCGCGGGGGGGGCGGGGCCAAGGGCTGAGTGGCCAATCACGGCGCTGAGTATCTACAGGGAAAATGGCGGCCGCGGGGGGGCGTGGCCAAGGGTTGAGGAGGTCAATCACAGCGCAGGGGGGAAAATGGCGGCCTGCAGGGGGCGTGGCC